CGTTTGTTCTTGCCTTGCTTCTATTTGAGGCTTCAGCTCTGAAAAATTTTTTTCATTTACTTCTGATTTTCTGTCATCTCATTCCCACATTTTCATAATTGATATATGTTGTTTTTCCATGTCTTATATCATTTTCTTAGTGTCTTTTAACATACTGTGAAATAGACAATAGTTTTGGTTATAATTCTGGACTATTTTGTGTGCATTTTTTCATTGCAAGTTTTTATGTCTGGAGAGATATTCTGTCCCTTTGCTCGTATAATAACTTTGTATGTGATTTGACCTCAGTACCTTTCTGTAGCTCATTTTTATGTGAATTTAATTTTCTTAAGCTTTTAGAATGAGCAGCGGTTTGGGGAATATAAGTTCACACAAAACTGTTTCTGAGTAGTGTTAAAAAATACAGTGATTTGCTTCGTTGTTTGTTTTCTAAGTTTTCTTGATTCTATGACTTTGCCTCACTTTTATATGAACTATCTCCTCTTTTCTTATCTCTATTGTCCTTTCATAAAATTTTATTTCACTCCCTGCATAAAATTTTTGTAAGATTTTATCGTACTCCCTTTTTCTTAGGGCTCTGGCCCAGAATGGCACCTTGGCAAGTCAGTTTTGAGTGTTCACAGGAGGTAGATTACTCCTGCCTGTTTGGTCTTTCTTATGCTAGGCCTTCACCCAGATAATGGAGAGAATAAAACTCCCCAGTTTCAGCTATGGCTATCTAATTGGCCAGCATAGTCTTTTAGTGGATACTGTTGGCTACTCTGGAATTCTCCTGTTCTAAGGTCCATCAGATGTTGCCCCATTGCTTCCTTCTCACTTCTGCACAGGTATCAATACCAATTGTGTCTAGAGACTATTGGTAGTTTGCCTCAAATATTTATGTTTTGGGTTTCATGGGGATAGCATGTCACATGGTTTGTTGTAATTGTTTTATGAATTTTAAACTCTGCTTTCTAGTTTCACTTTCTGCTTTTTACTAGATGATTCAGAGAAACTGAAAACCTATGCTACTGAGGCCACAACCATTGACTTCCCAAAACTCACTTCTTCTCCCTACCTTTTTCCCCCAGGACTAGCTTTTGAATGCCTGTGACGTATTTAGGCATTACCGTCTTTAAGTTCTACTTGAGAGAGAAGCTAGTAACACTTTTGTCTCTTTTTCAATCAAACATTTTTGAAAGGCATCACAATGATGAACCAAATTTTAAAATTTATTTACAGTGAAATTTAAAAATAATTCTCTCATTTTCTATATAAAGCTTTCACAAACCATATCCTAGTGTCCATGTCATAAAACTGCATTAAAGACATTATTTTCATTCTGCAGTAACAAAATTCCTCAGGATGGAGAGAATCTAGGATATTTCCACCAAACCAAATTCTGTGCCACAGTCTACAGAATAAAAATACTACTGAACAAATTATGTATTATTAAGTCATCCTGAATAACAATCACATTATTTTTGCACTTTAGAGATAAAGTGACTGATGTACGGTATAGGAGGAACTGACTGAAGGTTGCAAGCAAAGCCAAAGTTGGTTGTCTCCATTTCTGCAATGTACTGGTTTCGATTTTAGACCTCTCCGGGCGAAAAAAATACCTCTCTAAATGTAACTCAATCTACATTTCAAATAAATCAAAGATAAGCTAACATTGGAAAGTTTTTGTACTTTTCTTTTTCATCTACTAAATCTGATTGGAATCCAGCAACAAAAACTATTTTCCAGAAGTAAAACTACCCTCATGTTTGTAAGTACTGATTAAACCATAATTTAAAAGGCTATTTACAATACTACCCATCAAGACTGATTCAATCAACTACACAAATTTCAAAACTTTTTTTCTGTAAAACTGCCAACAGGCAAGAGATCTATCGAATTCATTAAACGCGACAAACACCAAAGTATCACCCAAAGTCTAGTTTACCTAATAGATGACTGCTTTGTCCTCTCTTCCCACAGTTCCAATATATAAACTACGCTTTTGGAATCTACACATTAACATTGCCCTGGGATCAGTACATGCCAAATATTATTAGTAGTATTAATGTTCTATCAATTTGTTTCCCAACCCCCTCTCTCTGTCACACAGCAAGGCCTCCAAATAAAGGCCCTAAGCCCCACTCCCCAGCCCGCTCAAGTTTTTTGTTTTGGCAGTAGGGGACTGGTGCTGTTTTTGAGATAACAGAAAATAAGTACAAAAGGCATTATCAATATGGACCCTCAGCCACGTCGGAAAGTCTAGACGCTGGGGGCCGGGTGGGCCGCGCTCTAGATCAGGGAAAGTAAACAAGGTGACTGCGTGCAGAGGCGGCTGTTATTGTTTGTACGTGGGTCTGCCGCTCTGGGTGGGATCGGGGAACCTACGAGGACACCCACTCCAGCTTCGCAGCCTCTGTAAAGAAAAAGGCAGCTTGCAACTTCCCTGGAAGAAACGGTAGAACGGTAAAAGCGTTCTTTCCCAGGACTTCATTTCAGAGTCGCGGAAGGACCAGCCGCAGCAGGAGAGCTGTCAAAGCGCTGTGAACCCAGGGCTCTGTCCACACACAGGAAACCTGCGTCCTTGGCCCCTTTCGGCTCATCCGGGCGTCCTCAAACCTTCCGTCCCCCTCCCTATGCCACACAGCGGCCAGACGACGAGGGGAAAAGAGGCCGGACAGCCCCAGCCCTGGGTGGAGGGCCGCGGAGCCCCGGGTCTTCGGCCTTCTGAGCCTGTGCCCCTCGCTCACCCACCTGATGCTCTTTCACCACTTCGCTGAGGCAGGGATACCGCTCTGAGATCCATCGGTAAAACTTGGGGACTCCCATTTCGACCGTCAACACTAATCCTACTTAGGGCCAAACCGAAACCAAACGCCCCGCCAGGGCCTTCGCTGCCGCCTCCAGCCGTCGCTCCGCGGATGACAACACGCCGCCCGGCCGACCATAGAGAGCGCCCGCCGGGCCTAGAGCGGCAGGATCCGAGGCCGTCCCAGGGGCGGGGCTCGCGCGGCTGGGACCGCGGTGCGAGCTGTTGGCGGTCAGAGGCTCTGCGGGGGTTTGCAGGTGTGCTTCAACTTAGGTGTGAAAATGCCCTAGCATAGAGCTGTGCTTTCTAAGTGAATTTGGAAGTGGCATGAAAACCACACGAGAGTGTGGGAAGGGTACCGAACACTGATTTTTGTTCTGCTTCTGTCTCCAAGTGTTGCTAATCTCAGTATTTTTCACACAGATTTGGAAAGATCTGGTGATTTATTTGGCTTAGTTTGTTTTTGCTAGGAATTATTTTCTCTGAGGAATTTAAACCCGCGACAAAGTCTCTTTTAAAAACGTTTTCCAAATTGTTTTTAAAAATTTCCAAATTACACGCACCCCCCCCCCCCCAACAGACCTTGGATACGAAATCGTTATCATTTGATGTTTAGTTTTTACATTCATGCCTCTGGGTTTTTCATATTTTTCCCCATCACACTTTCAACTGGGGAGAGTCTTATCAACTTAAGTGAAATTATCAATTTTAAATGTAAGAGTTTTCCACTTATTTGAATGTAAGAACCTAATTACTTTGTATTTAAATCTTCTGGACGAAAACTTACAGAAAACCTTAAACATTTAAACCTTTTTAGATTTTAAGATCTCAGGAAATGTTAAGTATCGCTGTCTTCCATGACCACTGGGCTCTGCATTCTGGGACTGCAGTATGGCAAGCATCATACAAATTAGAGAATGTTTATTTCGTTTTCATATTCACACTTTTTGGCTTATATTTTTTTCCCTATCACACTTTCAAACATAGTTTTATTAAGTGAACTTAACGATATGCTGTTTATATTTATATCTCTCTCTTACTAGACTGTCACTTCCTGGAGTACAGGAGAGGGTAGCTCTATGCACAAGTCTGGTACAATGCCTTGCCCACAATATTTATTCCATATAATTTTGTTCTTCAAGTGAATCCTTAAAATAGCTAGGACTTTTAATTTTTTTTTTTTAAGACGGGGTTTCACCATGTTGGTCAGGCTGGTCTTGAACTCCTGACCTCAGGTGATCTGCCCACCTTGGCCTCCAAAGTGCTTGGATTACAGGCGTGAGCCACCACGCCCAGCCTAGCTAGGACTTTTAAAAGGAAATCAGTAGAAATTGTAAAATGAAATTAGGCTCGCTTGTTTCTTGCAAATGAAGTTTTTGACCATGAGAACACATGATGTTACACTTCTCCAGCTATAATACACAGTATGTATTAAGAAAGCAGTTTATTTATTCATAATTGAATTTTACATCTAATTAGTGATCGGAGAGAAATAACAGTTGCTCTGAGAACATAAATTTATGTGGTACTTTAGAACTGAACAGATACAACCATAGATTAATACCAAATGCATTACTTTTGATTATTAACATATTCTTTTATATAATTTCATTTCACATATATGGGGTCCAACCAAGATACATCTGGCATAGTAAGTTTTCATCAGTAGCTTCTTGTATAAGGTAATGCACATGTCCTTCAATAGATAATGGCAGTCCTGTCACTCTATTTCGAGTCTTGATTACACCTTGTAGTCGCTGCTCAATGTCAAGAACATGGGTCTTGGCCTAAAAAGAAGAAACATAAAACCAAAAACAGATGTTGATAATTTGGAATTACTACCTTTCTTTATATTTTGACATTTAATAAACGTTAACACCATTTTACTGACCAATACTCCTTTTGTAAGAGAAAATACAGAAAAAGAAGAAATTAAACAAATACAGTTAACATGTTGATACTGATTTTGAGGCTTCCAAGACTGATTCAACATTAACTGCTTGGACATGTTTCTGGACTACATGAAACACTAAGGAATTATTTACATATTGCAATTCTCGAAAAATATATATATTTAAAAAAAAATTTTTTTTTTTTTTTTTTAAAGACGGGGTTTCACCATGTTGGTCAGGCTGGTCTTGAACTCCCAACCTCAGGTGATCCACCAGACTTGGCCTCCAAAGTGCTTGGATTACAGGAGTGAGCCACCACGCCCGGCCTCTCGAAAAAGAATTTTTAAAATCTGCTTTGGAAGTGTTTAGGACTTAAACATTTGAATGAATATTCTAATACCAGCAACAATGCTCTACTGCCTAATATTTACATTATGCTAGTACATGCATATGGGAGTTCTAAATGAGCTACTTGTAATTGTATACATTTCTTTCTTGAGCATATCTGAATGCAAAAGAATTCCATTATTAGAAAAATAATTCTCGGAGGCGGTGCTGGTTGCGCTGGTGGGCTGGGCTGCAGCCCGTGAATGCAAAGAGGAGGGCCACAGGGCAGGGGATGTTGCTATGCTGTCTGCCATCAACTTTTCTGCCAAGAGCCTGGACTCCAAATATGACGAATCTGATGTTCCAGAAGAGCTCCAGGTGTTAAGAGAACCCCTACAACAGCCAGTCTTCCCTTTTTTAGTTGCAGACCAGCTCCTGCATATTTCTTTGGTGGAGCACTTGAGCCATGTGCATGAACCAAACCCAGTTCATTCAAGGCACATGTTTAAGTTACTTTGCCAGACCTTTATCAAAATGGGGCTGCTGCCTTCTTTCACTTGTGATGAGTTTAGCTCATTAAGACTATATCACCACAGAGCTATTATTCACTTAATGAGGTCCACTAAAGGCAGAATTTGTTAGAATCCTTGTGAGGATGTTTCTTATATCCAGAAAATCAGATCAAGGGAAGTAGCCTTTGAAGCACAAACTTCATGCTACTTAAATGAATTTGAAGAACTTGCCATCTTAGGAAAATGTGGATATAGAAGAGTATATAAGGTCAGGAATAAATAACATGGTCAGGATTATGCAATTTAAAAAGTCCTGATTAAGGGTGCAACTAAAACAGATTGGACGGAGAAACTATGGGAATGAAGGTGTCGGAGGTTCTTCAGGACCCTAATATCATTGGTTATCATACTGCATAGACAGAACATGTTCATGTGATCCAACCACAAGCAGACAGAGCTTCCATTTGGTTGCCATTTTTGGAAATGTTCTCCAACCAGGCAGATGACATACCAATATGCTGTTAAAAATGATGAAAGTAGCAACTCATCTATCATCTTTGCTGAGCTCACCTCAGAAAAAGAAAAACCCTTTGGAGAATCTAACACTCAAAATCAGAAAAACAAGCTGGTGAACAACCCTGCCACTTTAGTCCTAAAAGACACCAGTGAATTTGAATCATCCCTGGAGCTCCAGGAAAATGGCATGGCTGGTTTGTTTATCAGGTCCATTGTGGAACAGCTGCTGCCGCTCAGTTGTAATTCCCTCCTAGAGGAAAATTTCACATCCACTGAGGAATCTTCTGAAGAAAACTTGAACTTGTTGGGGCAGATAAAGGTGCAGTACTACCTGATTCTGCACATTCAGATGCAGCTGTGCGAGCTCTTGCTGTGGGACTGGACAGCCAAGAGAAACAAGCAGGGCCAAGAGTGTGTGGATAAGTCTGCCTGTCTTTATGGCCAGTGTTGCAACAAAAATTTTTCAATAATTAGTGGAAGGTGTGTTTTACATATATAACATGGGAATTGTAAACAGATATTCGAATCCTAGAAATATTTTTCTTCATGGCTCTCATCAGCAAGTAAAAATAGGAGACTTTGGTCTGGCCTGCCCAGACATCTTAGAAAGGAACACAGACTGGACCCATAGATATGGAAAGAGAGCACCAACACATATCCAGAGTGGACACTTGTCTGTAAGCTTCATCCAAACAGCTGGAAGGATATGAGAATGATGCCAAGGGTCTCACTCCATTGCCCAGGGTGGAGTGCAGTGGTGTCATCATAGCTCATAGCAGCCTCCAAATCCTGGGCTCAAGTGATCCTCCCACCTCAGCCTCCCAAATAGCTGGGACTACAAGAGTGTGCCACTGAGCTTGGCTAATTAAAAACAAACAAACAGCTCAAGGATCCAAGATGGCTGATTAGAAGCAGCTCAGGATTGCAGCGCCCAGTGAAAGTGTAGAGGCCGCTGCAGGTGAGTCCCAGGCAATCAGGACCTGGAGTGGACCTCGGCAGTCCTACAGCAGAGGTGCCAGACTGTTAGAAGGAAAACTAAGAAACAGAAGGAAATAACTTCATCATCAACAAACTGGACATCCACTCAGAGACTCAATCTGAAAGTCAACAACTTCAAAGACAACAGGTGGATAAATCCACAAAGACGGGAAGAAACCAGCGCAAAAAGGATGAAAGCACCCGAAACCAGAATGCCTCTCCTCCTAAAAGGGATCACAACTCCTCACCAACAAGGGAACAAGGCTGGATAGAGAATGAGTGTGATGAATTGACAGAATCAGGCTTCGGAAGGTGGGTAAAAAGAAACTTCTGTGAGCTAAAAAAACATGTTCTAACCCAATGCAAAGACACGAAGAACGTTGAAAAAAGATTTGATGAAATGCTAATGAGAATAGACAACTTAGAGAGGAATATAAGTGAATTGATGGAGCTGAAAAACACAACACGAGAACTTCACAAAGCATGCACAAGTTTCAACAGCCGAATTGACCAAGCAGAAGAAAGGATA